CAGAGTTGAAGAAGGACAATAACAACAACAACAACGACACAGTGAAATTTCACTAGTGGGGTCTGGGGAGGGTAGTGTGTACGTAGACCTTATCTCTATCTCGAAGGAATAGAAAGACTGTTTTCGAAAGACCCTCGGCATGAAGAAGGACAATAATTCATTTTTAAAAACCAGTGTTCTTAATACCAAAGAGTTGGAAGGAGATCTTATATTGCTTTCTCATTTTTTTGTGTGTATAATTTCTCCTATTTTCTTCATTTTTATCACATTTATTCTACCATATGCTTAAGACAAATCTACATAGACACTTAAATGAATTGACTCTCATACAATAAATTTTGTCGGTCTTTTTAGGACTTAATATAATTAATAGAGAACGTCACTAATAACGAATTAAAGTATGTTCTTTGACTTATTTTCGTTACTGTGTTAAGACTAATTATGTTTAGGAAGAGTTTAACTATAATATGATTTTGATAGAAAATGTCTTTGACCATTTCCCTTTTTTCTATGACTCGTGTTCATTATTTCCAAATTCCAATTGATACCTTTGCATTTACAAAACAAAAAGGAACATACAAAGGAAATTTGGAAGGAAGTAACAAATATAGAACAGTGAGAAAGTGTTTTATTTGACAGTCCAACTTCCTCTTTAGTTTTATTCGTCAATTAGTCCTTATTCTCTAGTTTTAGAAGTTAGTTTAGATTTTTATGTATTTTAATCTTCAAATTTAGATGCATTTTCATCCAAATTTTTAGAAGAGATGGGAAAGTGCTTGATTGAAAATTTAAAATTTGAAATTCTTTGAATGCTTCATCTTTCCCTTCATAGGTTACAAATTCAGTATTAGCAGCTTGATCAAGAAAAGGAAAAAAAATAGTTGCTTTCATTGAGAGTCGAACTCAAGACCTCCCGCTTACTAAACGGGTGCTCTAACCAACTGAGCTATGAAAGCCACATGCCGTTGTCGAACAATAAAACATATTTGTACGATATTTTGGAAATGACAAACAAATATTGGCGGGCCCACGCATGATCTAATGTTACATGGATTATTTTTTTCTATTCAAATAGTAAAGGGTCCAATTGACCTATTTCCTTGAGTTTACAGCCTCTAGTGTAGTATATTTTTTCCGGAAAAGGCGTAAAAATGCCACTCAATTTTCAGAAATGGTCTATTCATGCCATCCGTTAAAAAAATGCTCATTTCATGCCACTGCCGTTAAAGAAATGGCCCATCCATGCCATTATTGACTAACAGCAGTGGCATTGATGGGCTAAATAAAAATTGAGCCATTAGTCAATAATGACATGGATGAGCCATTTGTTTAACGGCAGTGGCATGGAAATAACAATTTTTTAACGGATGGCATGGATAAACCATTTCTGAAAGTTGAGTGGCATTTTTAGGCTTTTTCCGTATTTTTTTCTCTTTTTCCTGGTGAAAACGAAATATTATATTAAATACTAAGCCTTACACTATAGGGTACATAATCCTTATTTATTTGGTGGGGAATCAAAATACAGTAGTCCTACAAATACATTCATCCATTTTTAGCAAAGTTCATTTGCCACTTGATTTCAACCTCTGTATGTATGGTTTAATTAGTAGAGGGCTCCCCAATTTATTACTCCCTAGTTATTAGCATCAACCTGCAATTATCAAACATATATGATTACAGAGGCGGAGCTAGACAGTTGGGAGCGGGTTCAACCGAACCCAGTAGCTTTGATTCTAACCCTATATTTATCTTAAAAATCCATTAAATATGTACAAATTATTAATTTAGAACCTAATAACTTTAAATGATTAGAATCTCGAACCCATAAACTTGAAATCCTAGTTCTGCCTCTGTATATGAATAGTGGTTGTTTCTTTTTAATATCATACTGATACCTGAGCAAAATCAAGTTCAAACTCCGACATTAATAGTAAAAATTATGATGTTTTGTTTCTAAAATCTCGAGTCGTGCTCATATTTCAGCAAAAGTATGTGTTGCAAAAGGGACGCATTTTTAGTAGCCAATTATTCAAGCACCATAGCATCCGTATTACACCTCATATTCAGGAAAAACTTGAGAGGAACATAACGAAAAAGCAAGAAGAAACAAACCTATACCGTATAACTCTCTATATAACAATCATTCACTATAAAAGACAAGTTTTCCTAAAACCGATATTTTATGTTATGTTATAATATATATTCTCTATAACAACACTTCACTATAGCATCTAAAAAATATCAGAATAAATATAACTATTAAAGAGAGGTTTGACTGTACTATATTTTGTCTAAGTCAGAATAGTGATATGTAAAATGAAATGAAAAGTGTATAAGATTTGAAAAGTAAAATGATAGTAGGATTTTTTTCATCTACGATTGAGCTCTTATATTTTCTCATCCTGATGAATTAGATAAGAAAGAATAGTGCTGCATCTTTTCTTTATATGTAACAAGCTATGCCTTTCTTCTAAAAAGAAATAATATCATTATCCTATTTTATAGAGTTAATATAAGATTCAATAATAGAGTAAATATCTCATTTTATTTTACCAGTCAAGTTGTTCAAATGATTATATAGACTACACTCAACGGTCGCTATTTTATCACATCATCACATGTACATCTTGACTCAAGGCAGCCCGATGCACAAGGCATTATGTGTTCACGCAGGGTCCGAAGAAGGGCCGCACCCAAAGGGTAGGGTATGATGTAGACAACCCCAAGGGATATGATGTCAGGTGACGTACATCACGACTCGTGATTAGAATAAAAATTAAGGCAAAATATAGACATCTCCCTAAAGTTGACCACTATTTTCATTTAGCTACTTCAACAGAGCCTTATACCTATTAGATACTCCAACCTCACTCAATATGTGGTCCATTAAACAACTAGGAACAGTATAAGCCAACTTTAGAGAGCCAAAAATTAACCAAAATAAGTTGCACTACCATAGATCAAAGTGAAACAACTGACCAGCTACAGAGGATTTCTCAAAACCAAGTAACTCCAATAAAAGCATCATCATCAAACATAACCAGAATCATAACATCAGAACACATTTTTCCTTGTCTTAGTAATAAAACACAGATAACCTACATTCTTAATGACATAACTACAATCGTAGAAGGCAAATCACAGCACTTTTTTTCATGTTTCTTAGTAATAATACAATTAAATGACACTACATTCTCAACAATAACTAAAACAGTAGAAGACTGACAAGAGCTTAAAGAGATGACTAGCTCACTGCGTAGCTTTCACATCAACATTGGAATCAGTAGTTCGCTCACCACCTGCCAAAAATAAAAGGGTACTTACAACAAAGAATAGCAAAGCAGGGCAGACCCAAACAAATTTAAAGCATCAATTTTTCTCATCATTTGTCTGTATATAAAACAATTTGGATGTTCCAACCTGCACAAAGCAAACATCTTGAAGGCTTGATCCAGAAAATGCAGACCTTGCGATCGAGAAAGACAAATTGCAAAGACAAGGGAGTTGAATGTTTAGGTATACCATTATTTTGATGTGAAACAAAACTCCTGTCCTACTAAAGGATTTTCCAAAGGAACCTAATTACACTACAGGAAAACAGACCTTCAGTTACGACCCACGAAGTCGCCACAAAATCAAGGGCTTTTCATGGCAACATATCTAGTTGTATGAAAAGTAAAGATTTTGAATTCAATAGGTAATGCAGTTTGCATCTCTATAGAAATTAAGGCATTTATTGTTTCCTTAAAAACATGATGTAATCCACCAAAATTGTTTTTTCAAATTATTGACTCAACTGGACTCCAGGGAATGCATAATGAACTAGAGCAACTAGAGTAATAGAAAGCCATGAGGAGCGGTAGACACAGATTTTACAAAATACTAACACCTCAATGAAGTTCAGCTTTAGCAAAAGATATGCAGTTGAGTAACAACAAAGCACATCAGTATATTGAACACTAATGCAAGAAGCTCTTCCAATGAATCACATACTCTTGGAGTAATTTATAACCTTCAGACTGTCTAGGTTGGAAAAAAGTTTTCGTGAGAATCTGATTGAGTTCAAAATCATTTCTTGGTAAAAAAGAAAAAATGAGATGGGCAGAGAAAAGCTACACATTCTCCTAGTTCTGCTCTTAAAGAAATTGTTTCTTTCTTCGGTACTAAAGATCCTTGCCATCATCAAGAAGAAGAAACAAAAGAGAGAAGAAAGTGAAAAAAAAAGATTATGCTGCAGCTTAGCCTTTTAACTATTACAAGGTTTAAGCTCTCTTAATCTACTTTTTTTTCTGATGATGGCAAGATCTTTAGTACTGAAGAGAAGAAACAAATCCTTTAAAAGCAGAAATAAGGGAATTTGTAGTTTCCTGGAGAGGCAAAGCATTATTGTTTATGCGAGACTTGTAATATTTCTACCTGAACAACATAAAAACTGCAGGTACAAGTGATTTTATAATTTATTTCTTAACACAGAAAATGACAAAACAAAGTCACATATATCATAACAGCATTGATCTATGGCATCATGTGAATTCTCTCATAAAGTGAATTCGCCAACATACTTGTTGCTAAATAACTAAATATCAGAATGCATCCATTTCATTCCTTCTCTCATTTAACAATATGGAAAGAATCATGGTGTTGGTTGGGGCTGATCATGAAGTTTTGAGCAGTTATCTTTTTGGTGTAATGGAGGTTGCCGGCAAGCACACACAACATAATTTTTACACCATTGGCAAAAAATGTTGGCATATTGGAATATAATAGATACAAATGGAGTGAAATTAGTGATATTGCGGACCTGATCACAATTGAGGCATAGTTGTTGTGTACCAAAATGCACAGGCATAAATCAATGAGTTGTATGCACTTGGTTTCAACAGATAAAACTTTAACACCAAACACTTACCGTGTAGTATATGTAGCTACTAGAACAAGCTACTAGAGAGTTTTTTTCCTACTTTTGCTTTGAGTTGAGGAATNCCGGTCAACGCAGCAAAAAACCCCACGAGGGACAAGGTAATCCTAAGAGGGCACAACCATTGGAAGTTTATATATCTTAGCATAAGCATGTTCATGGGTGAAGCCATATGTCTGATAGTTGACCGCCCTTCATCGGAAAATAGCACTGAGTATATAGGAAAATTATTAGGTTTTATAGGTATATAGCATATACTGAACACTCTTTGTCGGAGAATTTTTTCACTTCTTTCAAGTTTAAAGACCCTTGAAAAAATTCCTAGCCACTGAGCATGTTGCATATAAAAGCAATGTAAGTAACAAGTGAGAAGATGCATAAAAAAAGGTTTACCTTCACCACTGGATTGTTTCTTAAGCCTGCAAAATATAATTTCTTTGTCTCCATCAATCCCCACCACGCCAATGTTTGAAAGGTCTTTACAGCATCAGAAGCAGCAGCATTAGCATCAGCATCCCTATCTTGAAAGGTGATACGACACCAAAAACCAGCAGCAAGTGATGTGGTCACAGTCAAATTTTTGACAAATTCGTATCTTTTATTCTAACAAATAGAAGACAGCCAAATTAAAAGGGGCAGACAGAATAACATTTTTCTCCAAGCATAAGGCAATTATATAAGAAGATTTTACTTACATTCTGTGAATTGAAATCGTCAATGGCCATGTGAGACAGCTCGGTATATCTTGGGATGTTCTCGCAACCCCGTTGTGGATTAATTGGAGCCACCACTCTAACCCCCAATGGCAAATTCAAATTGATATCAAAACCTTATTTTGCATAATACACGAACAACAAAAAGGACAAATCACACCCAAAAAAGTGTGGGATAGTAGTCAATGAAGTGAAACGAGAACTATGAGGTCATAAGTATGAAAGGGTACGTACCTCGCTCTCATCCACCTGCCGATTATATTCCAACCGAAGTTTCCGGGACATAGGGCGACCATCGACATACATACCATAATCGTGATCAGGATCAGAATCAATATCAGAATCAGCGACATTTGAACCAACTACTCCATTTTTACTACTCTTCTCTTCCAAAATTTTTTTCCCTCGGCCATCATTCTCTGGAAGTGCCATCTGCAATCAGAATCGGAAGCTGCTGAAAATGTGACAGAGATTCCAACGGGCAAGTTTAGGAATTAAAAAAAAAATCACTTTTTTTTTTTCTGAAGGCTGTAAAAATTTTAAGGATATGTTTGGAAAGCCGCTCCGCAATTAGAATTGGTGTCGTTAATATGGTAATAATTATTCAATCTAGTAATTATAATGACGTGTTTTTTTGTCACAATGTAATTATAAGGTACTATTTGATTGCACGAGTGTAATTACACAACTACATTAAATATTAAATGAACTATAAAAACTTAAAAGCTAAAAATAATAAATATATCCCTATAAATAATTTTTTATAAGTATAAATGATATTAGATTTGGTATTGAAGATGCATATTTTTTCTTGAATATACACTAATTAATAATCATATATTTATAACTAATATTGTAAAAATAATTTTTATATATTTTCAAATTAATAGTATTTAATTTAATTAATTATAAAAACTAAAAACATACGTTCTATAACAACAACATGAAATATATGTTTGATAAAATAAATTAATATTTATAATATAATATCATAACATTATGTGAATGTTTGACATAACAAATCTATCTCTTTCTAACTAAAAAATGAACAATATGCAATAACAAGCCAATACTACTAAAAAAAATAAATTGGAACCATAAATAT